CTAGGACCTTAATTCAAATGCTGCCTTAGACACTTGACACTTACTAGCTGTGCGACCCTGTGCAAGTCACTTAACCCCATTGCCTAGCCAAAGAAAAAAAGACAAAAACAAACAACAACCAAAAAAAAAGAGTTGTGTTCAGATCACAGTGAACACGTCCAAAACCAAAAACTGATGACCTTCGTCCCTAAACATGCCTGTCCTCACAACTAATGTATTTCTTTTGATGCCACTTCCATTGTCCCAATCTCCGAGGCTTAAAAACTCAAAGTCATTTGTGGCTTTTCTTTGTTCCTTGCTTCCCAGATCTAATCCAGTCTTGAGTCCTGTTGATTCTTCCTCTTACACAGTGCACCATACATAATAGGTATTTAATAAATGCTTGTTGATTGATTGATCTCTGGAATCAGGCTTTTTCCTGTCACCTCCACCACCCTAGTTCAGGTCCTTTATTACCCTCTCACTTAGCCTGCTGTAATAGCTTCTTAATCTCTCTGATACAAATCCCTGTACTCTCTAATTTGTTTTTCAGCTTATTAATAAAATATTTTTCTAGTATGTAGTTTCATATAACTTCCCTGGTCAAAACCCTTTGGTGTCTTCCTATTGCCTAGAAGATAAAATACAAACTCCTTAACCTGATATTTAATTCATACTTTTCCAACTTTATTTCCCATTGCTACCCTTCTTACATTTTACATAAACTGGATTTCTTGCTGTTCTTTGAACTCAACCTGTCATCTCCTGCTGTCATGCATTCACATAAACCACCCCTATACCTGGAATGCATTCACTTCTCTTATGTTTCACACTTATTTTCTTCCTTTTGCAGAGCTTAAACTTTTTCCACTCATTTTGCAGTTTGGTTGTGTGACCTGAGGACATGCATAGTGCAGAACCAAGGCTGCGGTGGAATTGTGCAATGCAACACAGGCAAGCGTTGCCCGAAACACCTCAGATTCATTATGCGTTTGAGTTTGAATTAATTGGTCATTGCACGTTCAGAAACCTTTTACTGTTGCCGTGGGGTCGCAACCCACTGTTTAAGAAGTGCTGCTGTAGAGCTTAATTTAGGTGCTACTCTTCCTCAGTGTATTCTGTGATTTCCTCCCTTCCAACCCCCCCCAACCAACTGAAATTTTTTTTCCTCTTCAAATATTCCTAAATTATATGTTTGGATCTCTTCTTTTCTTTTATCACTTGTTATATCCCCTTGAAAACAGAGGTCCCTCGTTTTTTATTTTTCTGTGCATGTACTGGGGACTTAATAAGTGTTTGTTAAATTAGATTGAATTGAATAAAATTGCAAAACTTAACAGTCAGAAGACAATTTATTAAGCACTTACTGTGTGCCAGGCACTATGCTAAGAGCTGGAGATAAAAAGAAAAGCAAAAATCAGTCTCTGCCCTCAAAGAAGTTACATTTAATATATTAAATAGGTACCTGCAAGATATATGCAAAGTATAAGGAAGGTAATCTCTGCTGGGAGGCATAAGGAAGTAGAAGGCCAGGACAGACCCCCTGCAGAAAGTAGGAAGTGTTGAAGGAAGCCAGGGAAGCAGAGGGATAGTGATGAGAGAGAGCACTCCAGGCATGGGGGGCCAGCCAATTTAAAGGCACAAAATCAGCAAATGAATTTAGTTTAAGGAACAGGAAAAAAGGCAACTCGGACAGTATTGTAGGGAATGTGGAAGGGAGTAAAGTGAAAGAAGACTGAAACTGTAGGAAGAGGCCAAGTTACGAAGTCTTTTAAATGCCAAACAGAATGCTTTGATTCTGGAGGTATTGAGACTCTAAAATTTATTGAGTAAGGCATTGACATGGTCAGATCTATTCTTTAGAAAAAACACTTTGGCAGTTTAGTAGAGGGTGGATTAGAGTGGTGAGAGACTTTAAGACCATTAGAAGGCTATTGCAGTAGTCCAGGTGAGTGGGTGATGAGGGTAGCAGTTATATGAGTGGAGAGGAAGGGATGTTTAAGAGAGATGTTGTGAAGGTAGAAACGGGAAAATCTGACAACAAATTGTATGTGTGGGGTGTATAAGAGGGAGGAGTTGAGGATAATACTGAGGTTTTAAACCTGGATGACTCAAAGAATGGTGGTGCTATCAACAATAATAAGAAAAAGTTAAAGTTCAAAAGAGTGAAGGATTTTAGGGGAAAGATAATATGTTTTCTTCTGGACGGGTTAAGATTGAGGTGCCTTTAGGTCATACTTTTCAAGAACTCCAAAAGGCAGCTGATGATGGTAAACTGTTGGGGGAGTCTAAGGCTAAATATATAGAGCTGTGAATCACTTACGTAGAGATGTTAATTGAACCTTGGGAGATGATGAGATCACCAAGTGAGATAATATACAGCAGGGTTCTGCGCCCTATGGCCTTCAGGTCAAAAATCTGGTCCCTTGCCTGTTTTTGTATGGCCAGTGAACTATGAGTGGTTTTTAGATCATTAAATAAGGTTTCGTTTTACTTAAAAATATAAAATCATTCTTAGCCCACTGCCTGTGCACAAACAAGTGGCAGGTTGGATTTATCCCATGGATATGGGACACGGATATGGTTGTTGACCCATAGTAGAGAGGGAAAATTGAAGATAGCCTCAGAGAGAGATTTGGGAGACACTCATGGTTATTAGCCAAGATATGGATGAAAAGCCAGCAAAAGAGATAAAGAAGGAAATGGCAGACTGATAGGAGAACAAGGAGAGGGAAGTGTCATGAAGACTCAAGAAAGGAGAAATTATCTAGAAGGACAAGGTGGGCAGATGCTGGAGAGAGATCAAGAAGAATGAGGATTTAGAAAAAGCTTAGGTTGCACAATTAAAAGATCATTTGTAATTTTGTAGAGAGTAATTTCTGTTGAATAATGAGGTCGAAAGCCAAATTGCAGGTGGTTTAGAGGAAAAGAAGTGAAGATACCTAGCGAATATAGATAACCTTCTCAAGAAGTTTTAGATGTGAAAGGCAGGAAGGATATAGAACAGATAGTGGGGGTTTTTTCCTTTCCTTTTTTCTTTATACAGATTTAAGAGACAAGGGTTTATCAATAAGCAGCATGGACAGAGTTGATGGTCTGCTGGAGAAGACCCTAGGGAATACATGTAGATGCATGTAGATGACTTGGTCTTAGCAAAGAGAAGGGCCACCTCATATCAGAGATCAGAGTAAAGGAGGAGACAGTGGGGGGAGATGTCTGAGTGATACACTCGGGATGAGGATGAGGATGGGGAGGGAAGAAAGAGGAACTCTCAGAAATTGTCCTAGATATTTAGGTGAAGTATGAGATGAGGCTGTCAGATGACAAGGTTGAAGGAAGAGTGCATTGGGCAGCTTGAAAAGAGATTTGGAACTGTTGCTGAGGAGAGCAAATAGCAAACAAGATTTGGGAGGAGTAGAATAGTTGCCTTATTGCTTGAGGACCCAGTTGAGATTAGATGACATAAGTGTGCCCTGGAGACAGAGAGCAGGTGTAATCCTTGATTGGGATTTGTCAGGGCTTGATTGTTGATGAGAAAAAATGGGACCTGAGAAAAGAGAATAATATAAGGTTCATTTTTTTCACAAAAGAGTCAAGATAAGGAAGGAAGCGCAGAGGGTCACCTGCAGTTAGCTAGCTGTACACCTGTAGCTAACACCTGTAGCCTGGAAAAAACTGAAGGGTAGAGGAAATGGAGGTACTGAAGACTTAAGAACAGGGCTATGGGGTCATAAGACAAAGGGAAAGGTAGAATGATGAAAGGTTATGAATCTGATAAAGGAATTTTGGAATTTTTGACATGGAATTGAAACACTTATGGATAGTGGCAAAATTAAGGGCATGGCCATGTTCTGTGTGTGTAGCTAAGGTAGAATAGAGGAATAAGTCATGGGAATTGAGTAGATTGAGAAGCTTGGAAGTTAGAATATTTAAGAGAGCATAAATAGGTGTGTTGAGATCCCTTTAGTTTCAGGGCAGGAGTTAGAATAGAAAGCTGTTAGCCAGACACTGAACTCATTGAGGAAAGAAGGAGAATGTCTTAGAAGCCACTAAAATCAAGACTGACTGATAAATTTGTACACTGTGATCATCTGCTGAATGATGGTAGTGGATTATAGATGGAAAGTCTGCACATAGCAGTGGGGAGGAAGAAGTATTCTAACTCCTTCACTACAATTAGTGAGTTGAGTATAAAAGAAGGTATAGCCAGTGGCTATAGAAAGAGTGACTAAGGAATCAGTGTCATGAGGAGGTAACTAGGTCTCAAGTGAGTGCCAGAAGGTAAGAGTGAGAAACAAAGTTTAAGATGAAAGTAAGTTTGTTATTATGGAGTAGGCATTCTATAGGGCACAGTGGAAGGAGTGAGGATATTTAAGTGGAATACTGGGTGGGGGGGAGAGGATAGGTTTGAAGTGAATGTGAGTAAGGGAATAAGCAGTTGGGGGTGAGGGAAAAAATTTTGTATGTTGGCAGCTCAGAATCACTAGAATGAGGAAAGTGTGAGGGGGTTGGAGTATGCTAACCATTGAGGAATGAAACTAGGCAGAATGTCAGTGGTTAGAGAGAGATCCATTAAGTGAAGTATGTGGTTAGGTTGTTCAGGGTTCTCCTGCCAGATCCAGCCTTGTGGCAGGTGGTGATGTGTTCTGTGTATTGAGGCCCACCTCAAGGCAGGCAGGAGCAGAAAGGACATGTGGGAATCTATTTGGGAGCTGTTGGTTCCAAGTCAGATTTAGAAAAGGTCCTAGAGGATGGTAGATGGGGAGGAGGTTCTTGTCCCAGGTCAAGGTGGCACTGGAGAAAGCTTGGTAGGCTACAAAAGCCAGGAAGTAGGTGGTGGGTCTTATCCTAGCAGCACCCAATGTTGAAGATGAGCCAGACCCAGAAGACAGGTGTCAGGGTCTTGGCTGGAGATGGCCCTGGGGCAAAATCAGAAAACTAAAACCATGAGAGGTTGTGACTTGCTGTGAGTGAAGCTATTTACTTATGTTGGTCTTTTTTTATGTGTTTTTTCCCCCTAGAATGCAGTCTTCGAGCATTGAATAGAGTGTTACATGATGAAATTCTAAACAAGCCTATGGAAACACTTAAACTTGCTATTCCATCAGGAATATATACTCTTCAGAATAATTTACTCTATGTAGCATTATCAAATCTAGATGCAGCCACTTATCAGGTACTTGAGAAAAAAATTTTCTTATAGTGCTTTTAAAAAGTGACTATAACAATAACAATAATAATAATAACAATAATAATAATACCTGTTCTCTTTTTTTTTCCAGGTTACTTATCAATTAAAAATTCTTACAACAGCACTGTTTTCTGTGTCCATGCTTAGTAAAAAATTAGGTTTGTACCAGTGGCTCTCTCTAGTGATTTTAATGGCAGGTGTCACTTTTGTACAGGTAAATTATTCAAGATAAGTTTATCTTCCGTGTTCATTGTAGTTTTAAAAAATAATTGTTGTGAATGAATACTATGTCATCTTTATTTGTTTATGTGACTACCCATTACATCAAATCAAATATGTATTGAACATTACTTTTGATGGGTATAACTTTAGGCAGATCACTTAACTTCTCTGAGCTTCAATTTCTTCACCTGTAAATGAGGGGATTGAATTAAATGATTTATATGATCACTTTCATGTCTAAATATTTGATCTTATGAACTAGATCATAAGATTTTTTTTTTGGAGGCAATTGGAGTTAAGTGATTTGCCCAGTGTCACACAACTGATAAGTGTCTAAGGCCAGATTTGAACTCAGGTCCTCCTGATTTCAGGGCAAGGGCTCTATGTACTGCACCACCTAACTACCCATAAGACTTTGAGATTCTTGAGAACAAGTGTGCTTTAAACTTCTGCATACTCAGTCAATAAACATTTATTAAGTGCCTACCATGTGCCAGGTGCTATGCTAAGTGCTAGAGATACAAATACAAAAATGACAGCCCCTGCCCTCAAGGACCTTATAATCTAATGGGGGAAGACAACACAAAAAGGGCATAGGGAGAAGGAAAGGTACCTGGAGGTGGGACACACGATGGAGAAGTCCATAGGTGCACAGCTGGGTGGGAAATAAAGAGATGGCTAGGCTGGGCTCCTTCCTTTTATAGGTTCTGGGAGAAGGTTTCTGCTCTCCATTTGGAGGTGTCATAGGGGCAGAGGGTACTAATGTAGTGTGAGTATCAAAGGATGATGTGTTCCACAATGTTGTGTAGTACATAGGCAAATGCTGGAAAGGACTTAAGAATTAAGACTTTAATTCATGTCTGTGATCCTTTAATCCTGAATCATTGGTCATATATGCTTATGTCCTACATAATATTGTGGAAGATATATAGAAATTTAAAGTACATTTCTTGTCCTTAAGATTATTACAACCTACTTCACAGAACCATAGATTTAAAGCAAAAAAAAAAAGTCTTGGAAATAATATAACCTAGCCCCCTCATTTTGTAAGTGAAGAAACTGAATCACAGAGTTTATGACTTGCCTGAGGTCAAATAGGTAGCAAGTAGCAGAGGATGTAGTTGGGAAGAAAAGTCCTAAATGTATAAAAAAGTTAAGTAGCAATCAAGCAATCAAAGACATATCAGTTTGAGATAGAATAGAAGAGATATCATATGTGATAAATTTCTAATATGAGGTAAGAGCTTAATAAGTGTTTTTTTCTACTTTTAAATGAGTGGTTCAGATAGTAAGTGCTATTGGAATTCAGAGGAAGTCATTTTTGACTAGTATGTTCAGGGTTCATGAAGGATAGGTAATTTGACATAGGTAGAGTTTTTACAGTTGGAAAGGAGAGGAGGACATTGCAGGAAGAGGTATTGGTGTGAATAAAGGCATATAGACAGGAAACTACAAGAGATAATGGGTAAATAAGTTTGGCTGTAGCAGAAGATCAGTGTTGAGAAATAATGGGAAATAAAGGTGGAAAATATAGGTTGGGGTCAGCTTGTTGAGGACTTTGAACGCCTCTATAAGGATTTAGATTTTATAGGCAATACAGAACCATAGGATGGATAATTGAATACTTTGACCAAGGAGTGGCATGCTCTGAGTGGGGTTTTAACAAAATTAATATGATAGTGGTATTCTATGTGGATTAAAACAGAGAAGCCAATTAATAGGTGGCTGGAATTTCCAGGTGTAATGTGATAAGTGGTTGAACAAGGGTGGTGGTAATGAGAATTGAAAAGAAGAAATGGTAATGACATATGATGAAGGAAGAATTGACAGAACTTAGTGGCTATTTTGGATATGGAGGATGTCACTTTGGTCTGATCATCTATGATGACTGACTTAAAAAAAAAAAGATATAACATCTTAAATGAGTAGCCTTGAGATGTAAGAAAACTAGGAGGGGTGTGTATGTGTGTAAATAACTAGGTTATGATGGGCTTTGAATGCCAAACAGAAGAGTTTATATTTGATCCTAGAGGTGATAGGAAGCCACTGGGGTTTATTGAAAAGGCAGGTAACATGCACAGACCTACATATAAGGTAATAGGCCCTGATGAAAGCAAAAGATGTCCCTAGGTTTTGAAACCAGGAAAATATTGATGACGATAATGGAAGTAGGGAAATCAGAAAGAATTTCAGTTTAGAGAGTATGTAATGAGTTAGTGAAAATAAAATAGGACAAGTAATAGGATTAGAGGAGACCTCTGCAGTAAGTCAGATGTAACATACATGCCACGTTGTGTATGCCAAGCTGTTGTACTTAGCATGATAGCCTCGTATGTCCAACTTGTATTCTTTGTCTCTAGCATCTCTCATTACTTCTCCTATTCCACACTGCTATCTTTCCTGTCACTGTTTTGGGTTCTGCTGTCACTGGCTTCCTTCTGTTGTCCTTGGAATTCTGCAGTTCTTCCATGTTCATTTCTGCATTGACTCAGGTAGTTGAGAGACAGTGAGGAATATTGTAAGGAAGAAATGATGATGAAATTCAGTAAGGGATATTGTAAGCATTAAGCCACATCTGTTGTTATCAGATTCATACAGTTTTCACTCACTCTGATCTAACATGATCATCTGGGGTGACAGATTTAAAAAAGAAATTTCATGTGCCAGGCACTGCATTAAGTGCAGAAAATGGAAAGAAAGGTAAAAGACAGTTCCTATTTTCAAGGAGCTCGCAGTCTAATGGGGAAGACAGCATACAAACTACTATGTACAAGCAAGCTATATGCAGAATAAATCAGAAATAATCAACAGAGGGAAGGCACCATAATAAAGAGGGATTGGAAAGGGCTTCCTGTAGAAAAGGAGACTAGCTAGGACTTGAAAGAAGCCAGGAAGCAGATCATTCCAGGCATGGGAGATAGCTAGTAGAAATGCCTTAGATTAGGAGATAGAGTATCTTGTTCAAGGAACAGTAAGGAGGCCAGTGTCACTGGATCGGGGAGTATGTAGAGGAGGAATAAAAATATATAAGAAAATTAGAAAGGTGGGCATGGGGAGCGAGGCTAAGTTATGAAGGGATTTAAATACAAACAGGATTTTATATTTGATTCTAGAAGAGATAGGAAGCCACTGGTATTTATCGAATAGGAAGATAACATTGTCAGACCTGTGCTTTAGATCATTTTGACAGCTGAGTAAAGAATGGCCTGGTGTCAGGAGAAACTTGTCTAGTAGAAGACCAACTAACATGCTATTGGAATAATCCAGATGTGAGATGATGAGGGCCTGCACCAGGGTGGCAGTGTCAGAGGAGACAAAGGAGCGTATGTAAAAGATATTACAAGAGTAAAATAGACAGGCCTTGTCAACAGATCGGATATGGGGGAGAGAGAGAGTGAGGAGTTGTGGATGACACCTAGTTTTTGAACCTGGGTTACTAGGAAGATGGTGGTGTCCTCAACAGGTTTCTATAGGAAGCCTTTCTAACTCCTCTTAATTCTAGTGCCTTCTCTTTCTTAATTACTCCCTATTTATTCTGTATATAGCTTGTTTTGCCTGTATTTGTTTGTTGTCTCCTTCATTAATGAGCTTTTTGAGGGCCTTTTCTTATATCCCCAGAGCTTAGCGAAGTGCCTGGCACATAGTAGTCACTTAATGTTTATTGACTGATTGACTTGACAATAATAGGGAAGTTTGGAAGAAGAGAGCATTTGGGGAAAAATGAATTTAGTTTTGAACATGATGAGTTTAAAGTGTCTATAGGACCTCCAGTTCGAGATGACTGATAGGCAGTTGGAGATTTAATACCAGAGGTTAGCAGAGAAATTAGGATAAGTAATTTGAGAATCATCAGTATGGGAGTTGATGAGCTCACCAAATTAAGTAGTATAGAGGGAGAAGAGAAGAGGGCCTAGGACAGTGTCCGGGCGGATACCTATGGTAAGTGAGCATGACCTGATCGGAGTTTCAGCAAAGGTGACTAAGAAGGAATGTTCAGATTAAGTAAGAGGAAAACTAAGAGAGAATAGTGTAACAAAAACCTAGAGAGAAGGAACCGTCAATGTCTAAATATCTAAAGCAATGTCTAAAGCTGCAGAGAGGTCAAGAAGCATGACAAGTGAGAAAAAGGCCATGATTTTGGCAATTGCATTAGCAACTTGGAAGAAAGAAGTTTCAGTTGAATGATGAGTTCAGAAGCTAGACTATAGAGTTAAGAAGAGAATGGGAAGTGGAGGTACTGATTGTAGATGGCCTTCTCCAGAAGTTCCATAAGACGGAGGAGAGAGATGAAACAATAGATACTGGGCATAGATGGATCAAGTGTAATGGAAGTTATTGAGAATTTCAAGGTAGTGTTGATGTCGTTCAGTTATTTCATTCATGTCCGAGTCTTCACGACCTCATTTGGGTTTTCTTGACAAAGATTCTAGAGTGGTTTGCCATTTCCTTCTCCAGCTCATTTTACAGATGAGGAAACAGAGGCAAACAAGTTTCAATGAGTTGCCTAGGATCACAGAGCTAGTAATTGCCTGAGGTCAGATTTGAACTCAGGAAGATGAATCTTGCCAACTTCAAACCTAGCACTCTGTGCCACCTAGTTGCTCCCTAAGGTAGTAGCCTGGGCTACATAAGAGAGATGAAACCTGAAATCAAGTTTACATAGAACTTGAATTTATTTTTACACTATTTTTGGACTTTGAGGAATGATATTGAATTTGTATCTTAGGACTTAAGAGTTTAAGTATGAAAAATACCACACACGTTTAACCTCAAAATTCTTTCTGATTTTGTTTAGTGGCCCTCAGATTCTCAAGAATCGTCTTCTAAGGAACTCTCAGCAGGCTCTCAGTTTGTAGGTCTGATGGCAGTTCTTACAGCTTGTTTTTCAAGTGGCTTTGCAGGAGTTTATTTTGAGAAAATTTTAAAAGAAACCAAGCAATCTGTGTGGATTAGAAATATTCAACTTGGTAAGTCTTTAGTGTACATTTTTAATGTGCTTTTGAGAAAGTAATTATATTATATGCAAAGAATCACTGTCTACAAAAATACATAAGCATATCTAGCAAAAGATTTCCTGGCCAGCATAATTTTGCAGTAATTTTTATGTTTCATCACTGAGCTGCATCATAAAGTCTTGATATCCCAGTGTAGTGTTCTAGAACCAATTACCCATTTATGACACTATTTCTATGGAACTAACTGCATGTGTTAATGTTTCAACTGACATATTTTCTTCCAGAACCAATTAGCTACAATTTCACAGTGTATTTTAAAATTAACATACCATGTTATAAGGAAAGCTCTCTCTCCTTTTCTCTTTCCCTCCCTTTTCTCTACCTATCTCCTTTTCCCCTTGTTCTATCTTTTTTTTTCTTTAGACAGTACATTTTGTAAGAAATATAGTGTGCCTTATATTTCAGATGTTGACATGCAAAGAATCATCCTTTTAAGGTTTGTAGATTACTTTTGCCCTGGAGGGATGAAATGCTTAAAGAAGAAAGTAGTTAGAAGTTAAGTAATATGATAAAACTACTTTTAATCTTTGTTTAAAAAACCTTATACTTATTTTTCAAAGTACTTTGACCCTTGTAGAGGACAAGTTCTGAGGAGCTGTGAAACTGGAAGCAAGTTTTTTTTGTTTGTTCTTTTTTTAATGAAGGGTTGTTCCATGCATTGACCAAGCAATGCTACTACTAGATCTATATCCCAAAGAGATAAAAAACAAAAAGGAAAAGGACCTGTGTGTACGAAAATGTTTGCAGCAGCTCTTTTTGTGGTGGCAAACAATTGGAAATTGAGAGGATGTCCATCACTTAGGGAATGACTGAACAAGTTGATGGATATGATTGCGATGGAATATTATTATTGTGCTTTAAGAAATGATGAGCAGGCTGCTCTCAGAAAAAAAAAACATGGAAAGACTTACATGAACTGATACTAAGTGAAATGAGCAGAACATTGTACACAGTAATATTGTATGATGATCTACTATAACTTTGCTATTCTCAGCAATACAATGATCCAAAACAATTCTGTAGGACTTATGATGAAAGGTGCTGTCCATCTCCAGAGAAAGAACTGGTAGAGTCTGAATGCAGATCAAGCATACTTTTTCTTTACTTTTTTTTTTTGTCTGTGTTTTCTTTCACAGAATGACTTACATGGAAATGTGTTTTGCATGACTACACATGTATAACCTATGTCAAATTGCCTTCTCAGTGAGGTAGGGAGGGAGGAAAAATTCTGGTACTCAAAATTTGGGGGGAGGTGGAAGAATGTTAAAATTGTTTTTACATGTAATTGGAAAAAAAACAAAATATTAAATAAGAAAAAATGAAAGGTTGTTAAGGAACAGTTAGATTTATAGGAAAAGTAAGACAAATTCCAGCTTCAGAAAGCAAAAATGCTTAGAAAGGAAGGGTCTGGTTTTACATCCCACCCTCATCTCTTTCCTGAACTCCTGACCTGGGGCATTTGATCTGGATGCCCCATTGGTGATTCAGACTGAACATATCCAAATGAAAATTCATCATCTCTGTCTGTTGTGCCTTTGTCCCCTTTTCAGATTTTCCTACTTCTGTGGAGGGGGCACTGTCTTTCTCATCACCCAGATTCACAATTTTGCAGTCAATCATCATTTTTCCTCTTCTCTTGCCTCCCATATCCAGCACTTTTCCAATTCTAGTTTGGTCTTTTAGCCTTTCTTTCTTTCACTGTTGTTGTAACTTTTCAGTTGGTCTCTGTTCTTCCAGTATTTTTCCTCCAGTCCATTTTCTACATAGATGTCAAAGCCCCAGGTCTCACCATGTTACTCCTACTCAGTGGTTTTCCATTGCTTCTAGGATAAAATATAAATTACTCAGTGTAGCATTTAAAGTCATCCACATTTTGCCTCCAGTCTCCCTTTTTAGACATTATTTTTTACTTTTCCACATCATAAATTCTACATGCCAGCCAAATTGGATTGCTAAGCTGAACTTGACATTCCGTTTCCTGCTGTTGTGTATTTGTCCAGCCTGCTTTCCATGCTTGGAATGTATTTTTGCCCCCAACAATTCATGAGGATATATTGTATTCCATGTACTACCTCCTTCATGAAACCTTTCATTATCCTTCTAGTTATGATTTTTCTCTCTTCTCAAATTACCTTGCATTATATTTGTGTGCATGTTGCATCCTTTAAAATGTAAATTACTTGAGGACAAGGATCATTAATATTTTTTCTTTTTGTTGTCACCACCTAGCATTGCATCTTGCATATTATAAGATGTGTGTTGAATTGTATTCTTGAAGAGAGAATATTCATTCTCAAAACAAATAAATGAATAGTTAAGATTTCCTTAGATATATGTTAAGGTTTTCAAGTTTGTCTTAGATATTATTGCAAAAATTGATCAGAAGTCATTCCTTGCAATTCAGGAAACTGAAGCTCAGATAGGTTCCCTAGTCTGGCCCATTGGTTCTCTTAATTATTTTTTAAATGGTAAGGTACTCTTCGTGGCAGCTTTTCCAAAGTTGAGAAAATAGATGGCATGCTTTTTTTTTTTCATCCATTTAGCTAACTCTGATTTTGCATGACATTCCAGTGGTTTTCCTGTTGTAATCTAGACATTAACAAAGCTCTCAGAGACAAGATTGTCACAAATGGATGAATTTCATAGCCCTTTCCAAATTCATTCCCTGAGTGCTTCAGGGTTAATTATGGTCTTACACTGGAGTTAAGTTTTAACCTTGTGCTCTCTGGCTGTGTGCCTTTTACCAATGAACTTTCTAGATAGTTTGGGCTACTTTTAGCCTCTCATTCATTAGTTCTGTCCCTAGATTTTATTAGATGTTGATCTCAACAGAGAGTAAATAGCTTTCATGCTTCACAGAGCTTCTAAGATTGATCTTGTACTTATTTTTGAAGGAGATAAGCAGCAGGTATCTTGATAAGACTGAGATCTTTATATTATCTACCACCTAACTTGGGCTTATTTTGTCTTTGTATACCAAGTACCTTGCACTTAGTAAGTGCTCAATAAATGCTGGTTGAACTGAATTGAAAATTGCTGTATTTTGTTAACAGTCATCTAATATCATGAAAAAGGAAAAAATAAACGTTTAGTTTTATGACAGGTTGGTATCAAAGCAGTACAAAACAAGTGATTGGACTTTTCTCTTAACTTTTTAAGGTTCTTTTGGGAGCATATTCGGATTAATGGGTGTTTACATTTATGATGGAGAATTAGTATCAAAGAATGGATTTTTTCAGGGATATAACAAACTGACCTGGATAGTTGTTGTTCTGCAGGTAAAACATTTAAAATCCTATATTTGCATAGAATAAAAATCTGTTTGTTTGAAGGTCTCGGAGCAAGCCCTGATATTAAAGTTATTCCCATCAATGTCCATCATAGTGTCTATATCTGCTTTCTACAAGAAAATTCAAAGTTAAGATGGAATGGGATTCCGTGTCCTAAAGAACAGCAGAAACTTGAGAACGAAAATCAGTGCTAATTGGGAAGGAGATTAACTGAGGAAGAGGAAAGAAGTACTGGAGGAGTGGTGGAAGAGAGTGAAAAATCTAAATGATATATCCAATTTTAAACATGTCAGAAAACTGGAGAAAATCATAAAGAAACTTTCTATTTCCTGAACTGAATAGCTCTATCAGTTTCACATCCAAGTTTCAGTTCAGTTTCACCATCAAAAATATATTTTAGTATAGATAGAAATTGATCTTGACAAGAATGGCATTTCATAAATATTTCAGTAGGATAACTTATAATAAAGTTCTGACCAAGACTGGGAAGTTTAAAAATGAAAGAAATCATACCTCCCACTTATAATACAGCTGTATGTTAAATCTCTTTGTTTCTGTTTTAAAATTAAAGATCCAGCCTTCAAAGAATAACATAACATCAATAATTAACATCCCTTGGAATTGGGAATTACCATGAACTTCATATGCCTAATATACCCAGAACATTCTGTCATAAACTGTACACATTGAGCAGATGTAGTAACATAGCACCCAGTATTTCATGCAGAATATGCAGTTCCTTCTTGGGAAGATTTTATTTTAAGTCAAGTTCTGAATGGATTTTTTTCCTTTGGGGTGTGTGTGTGTACCATGATGAAAATACAAGCTTACAAACTGATTGTGGTATAGCCGTAGACATGCCCAGTATAATTTTTTTTTTTTTACTTTGTAACAAGTCTTAATAAGTTACAGAATAGTGGTCCCTACTTTGAAGCTCATGGGGGACCCATGTTGATATTCAAACCTAGGATGTATTTAAAGCTTCATGCTATCGCATTGTATAGCTGTGTATTCTTGTCTGTATCAAATAATGTATATATACATATAATTATATAGCTATATATCTGCCTGAATAGCTGAAGATGTTCAAGTCTTAATTATTATTAATGATTACATTTACATAAACTCTTTACATGCATTATCTTATTTGATCTTTACAGCAATCCTTTGAAGTAGGTGTTAAAAATAACATTGAATCCATTTTACAGATGAAGATATTGAGACTCAGGTTAAGTGCTTTGTTTAAGATGACATAGCCGATAAGTGGTGGTGGTGGGAATAGAATGAAAGTTTTTTTAAATCACCAAATTTCCCAATAACTTACCCTGTGTAACAAATAAGTGTTACATAGTTCAGCAAAGCAAAGGAAATTGTCCCATCAGTTGCCTGACAGCGTGTTCATCATTCTCCACATGTGGTCTGCTGCCCCTCTGCTGAGAGGAGCAACAGAACCAAAGTGTTCTTACTCTGATCTCCAAAGGTCTTTCCACTACAGTGTAACTGTTTATTCATTCAGAAGATACTTATTGAGGCCAGCAAGGTGCAAACCATTGTTATGTGTTGTGGGAAATACGGAAATGAGGAAGACATCATCCCTTTCCTCAAGAAGCTTATAATCTAGTAGGGGAGATGAAATGTACACAAGTAGTTATAATCTCACATGGAATGTGTTAAGTCCTGTAGAATGATTTGGAACCTCAGAAGGAAGCAATCACTTCTATTTTGGGATTGATGAGAATTAGAGAGGCCTGTAGGAAGGTATTGCGAGGAAGCATGCTATAACAACAACAACAACAACAATAATATAGAAATTTATATTTCACTTTAAGGATTGCACAGTGCTTTACAGACATTTTCTATTCCTTCTAGCCACCTCTGTGAGATAATTCTACAGGTATTATTATTCCCATTTTATAGATGAGGAAACTAAAGCTCAAAGAGGTTGCCCCTTGCCTGTGGTCCCTTAGCTAGGAAGTTTCAGTGGTGGGATTTGGATTCAAAATTAGTGGATTATAAGGCTGGAAAGAGGTTGAAGTTAGCCCGCATATAGAATTTAGGATTAAATTTAGGAATTTCCATTGTATTCTAGAGCCATTGGGATTTTTTGAACAAAAGAGAGCTGTGCTTAAGGAAATTTGGCATCAGAACTGTAGGGTACAGTAGAGGAAGAATTAGGAGGCTAATGCCAGGTGACATAAAGATAGTGTCATTACAAATGGCAAGAAAGAGGCACTGCAGAGAGAGAATAGATAGGACTCTGTTGATTAACTATATGTAAGGAGAGAGTCAGAGATGGCATTTAAGTTTGTAGTCTGGATTGCTGGAATAAGAACAACTGGTATTTATATACTGCTTTAATGTTTGCAAAGAATCTTAAATACATTACCTATTTTGAAATAATGATAATGCTGTTTACAGAAATAGGAAGAGGAGGTAGTTTCAGAGAGATAATGAGGTCAATTTTGGATCCAATGAGTTTGAGGTCTAAGCAGGACTTATAGTAGGAATATTTAATAGGTAAAGAATGGAAATACAGATCCTCATCACAGGGCTTTAGTTTTCTTTTTTTGGTGGGGGGTAGTCATTTATATAAAAGTGACAGCTACAACCTTGAGAGTGGATGAGGCATCAGAAATCAAGTAAAAAATATTTTGTGGGAGGTAAGGAAACTTTCTATGGCCCTTGTAATTTTTCATTTCATAGCCCAGTGTCCTTCAGTAAGAGAACATCTGGATTTGTTTGCTAGTTCCTAGAGGGCATAGCTTCTTTAATGCCTGTCACAGATTTCTGGACTAATTTGTTGAAAACTCTTTCATGACTCCTGGAGTCTTTCTAAGTGCTTTAAAGATACTTTCAGGGAATTTCACTCTTGAAATGAAATTAGAAACATAGCAGTTCCAAGAGGAAGTCTTCAGAGCACTGAAAAAAATTGTGACTGTTATTAAAGATTTTTGTCTGCTCTTGCAGTGTGGAGAAAAACCATGTAATTTGAACCACCCAGCTGTGTATGATGTTTATCAAGCCTTTTTGGGAGCCAGCTACATGGGGCACAAATTAAACAAACTTCTGCCTATGGCTTATTCTTATTGGATGATGATCCCAGGAAAGACATTTAGTTGAAAATAGGCCCAACATTGGACTATTTCATAATGCTACAGAATAAGGGGCAGCTAGATGGCAAAGTGGATTGATGCTGGGTCTGGAGTCAGGAAGACCTGAGTTCAAATCTGGCGTCAAGATACTAGTTTTATGACACTGAGCAAGTCACTTAACCTTGTTTGCCTCGGTTTCCTCATCTGTAAAATGAACTGGAGAAAGAAATGGCAAACCACTCTAGTATCTTTGCCAAGAATACCCCAAATGGGGTTACAAAGAGTTGGATACAACTGAAACAACTGAACAAAAACAACAGAATGAGGATATTTAGAAATATAAAAAGAAACAAGAGAACTCAGAAGATAATTATGATGGTTGAATAAATGAGGATGGAAAAGAATCAGTTACAGAGGTAGGAAGAGAACCAAGAAAGAATAGTAACTTAGAAAACAATAGAGAAAAATTTCAGACTAGTCATGACTTCAGAAAACTCAATGTCGAGGCATGCTTCTTGCTTCTTGGCAAAGAAGTGACAGCCTGGAGGTGAGGCACACGTTTTCAGATACGGCTAATGAGTTGATTTGTTTTGCTGCATTATGCTTTTTTGTCACATTGGAGGGCTTCGTCAAAGAAAGGTGAAAGAGTTAGTGGGAGGTGGCAGAGATGAAAAAAGAAAATAAGAAAAAAAAAATACAGAGAAGAAAACAAGTTTAGAAGGGGACCTAAACAGGGAAATTTTATTATCTAGTTAAATTTAATAGACACTTAAAAAATTGGGACATTGTATTTGTTGATTACATTGTAATCAATAAGGTATGAATACATTATTAATAGAAAAGAACGTTTTTTAAAAAGATAAGAGTTTCCAGTAGACAATATGACACATTATCAAAGAGTGTAAGAGTGAATGGTATTGTATTTGGTAATTAGAGGATCATGGGTTACTTGGAGTATGCATTAGAGCCAGAGGGGAAGACAGATTTCTAAGTGTTGATCATCTTCCCTTTGAACCTCCACTAGAAATATTTTGTTAATCAAGTTATATGTATCTGTATTAAAGTGTCTATGTTTTTTTTTTTTCAGTAGGGACCCTATGAACAGAAATCTATATGTACCAGCTTCATGAATTTTGATTTCAGCAGTTTTATCAAAGAATATGTTTTTACAGAGCCAGATAGATTGAATTATTTGGCCGGAGTTTGGCCATATAGTCAGAAATTTCAGGTGGTTAGGTCCTGCTAGCCTATTAGATAAACACATTATACTAAGCATCTTGGGCTATATTTGTTTTATATCTATTTCTAAGTCTGTGACTGGTAACCCCACTTGATTAGTGAGAGCACCATGCTATTGAGAACCATGTTGTAGATTCTATGTACAAATTAATAGAAATGATTAACAGGGAAATTGGGTACAAGAGTATGTATGAATCTGCAGAAGTTCTTTAATTACTACTGGAAAAAATAACCACCGTTAAGTCAGCAGTATTTACTATTTACAAAGGACAACATATTAATGAATGTTCTTGATTGTAGGTAAATAGATAAACTAATTGTTTTAAAATAATTCACAGTGTGGATTTTTCCTATCCCCTAGGTAATACAAATTAGGTAGGCTTTGTTGACTAATGAATGAAAATAAAAATTCTGTTCAAAATATTGCTAAAGTTCTAGTACAAAGAACTGCCATCAGCTATTGCCCAGAAGTTTTCTTTTATCATTAACATCAGAGATTTAGAGTTGGAAGCAGCCTTAAATATCATCTAGTTCTTCAGTCCCACTTGTTTTAGAGATAACTGAACTAAGTAACTCACTGAGGATCAATGACTTGCCCAAGGTATAGAAGATCATAAGTGACTGACCTATGATTTGAACCTGGGTTCTCTGTCTCAAAATCTAGGGCTTTTTCTGTTGTAATAATAATAGCAGTTAATGTTTATATTTTTCTTTAAAGTTTGTCTGCTAAGCTCTTCACATATATTATTTACTTTAATCCTGACACCAATCCTGTAACTGCCATTAAGATCTCCATTTTACAGAGAGAGATTAAATGACTTCCCCAAAATTGTACGGCTTATAAATGTGTGAGGCAGGAGTTCAGAGTTTCCAAACTCCAAGGCAGTTTTCTTCGTGCATTGTAGCCCCTACAGTAATGTGTCTCTATATGGTCTTTAAGATATTTATTGAAAAAATTGCAAACCAATTGTATCATATATTGTTTGAAAGAGGTTGTCTGTTGATTGGAATCTTATTGTTTCTAAAGAGATTTTTTTAAAAAATTTAATCTTCTGTTATGGGTTTTTAAATCCTGTAACTATCAATCCTAAAATTTATATTTTGTTAAAAATAGAGAAGTTGAGAGAGTTCCTTTATTTTTGGAGTTGTTTGCAAGGGTGAAATCACTTGTTTATCTCTAAAAGTAACCTTTTTTTGACCTTTTGCAGGCACTTGGAGGCCTTGTCATAGCTGCTGTTATTAAGTATGCGGATAATATTTTAAAAGGATTTGCAACATCTTTGTCTATAATATTATCAACGCTAATTTCCTATTTTTGGCTGCAAGATTTTGTTCCAACCAGGTAAAAGAATCATTTTTCATCATTTAGATATGCCTTACTAGTAAAATGAATATATTTCCTATTTTAGTAAAGTAAGATCAGATGTTACACTAGTAGCTATAAATGGCATCAGTCAGTGTAAAGTAGTGAGCTTACTCTGTGCTGTACCCTACTCAATATTTGTTAAATAGAAAAGAAATATTAAAACATTGCCTCTGCCTTTAAGAAACTCATTGTGCTATAGCTGAGAACCAAAATTAATGTATATTAAATAAGCAGTTAAACGACAAACTATGTAGTACTTCCCACCCATTTATTTGGCAGAAATAAATATAAATGATAAAATCCAAAGTTAGTGGGCCTGTAGTAAAACTAGTAAGCTCTTGCCCCATATATTCCTGATAGTTATGTAAATTGGTACAGTGTTTTTGGATATAGCCTGATACTATCATACATCTCAAATTAACAAGCATGGTGCAGTGTTTTTGGATACAGCCTGATACTATCATACATACCAAATTAACAGGCATTTATCAAGTGTTTACTATGTGCTAGACAAAAAGCTAAGCTCTGGGGATATAGTACGCTAAGCACAAAAATAAAGATAGCCTTTATCCTCAAGGAGCTTGCATTCTAATAGGGAAGGCCACACATAAAAGGAAAGACTGAAAAGTGGGAGTGAAAGGGTAAAGGAGAGGTCTCTGTGCAGAGATATGGTGGAGAAAGAAATCCAGCAAGGGCCCAGAGAGGAATGAAATACATAAATAAATTACCAAACAGATTATATCTTTGATATAATAAATCCGCTATAAGAATGTGCCCAAAGGAAATAATTCAAAAGAGTTAAATATTTCACTAGTGTAAAAAAAATGTTCAGCTATTACAACAAAAAACTGGAAACAACCTAAATTCCCAATAAGGAAATGGCTAAATAAACTATAGCATGTTATTTCAATAAAGTAGTATATTGCTGTTAAAATAAAAAATATTGGAAATATAAAGTTATGCAATGGAAAAAAGTAGAACTTTTGAATACTTAAATTATGATCATATAAAAATATGATTATGTAACCATAAAGATTGGAAGAGGGTACTTTTTGTTTATGACATTGTTTAAATGATGTTTTTATCATAAATGGAATTATACATACTATAAAAAATTTGAAATATAAATTTACTTATACTATAACATTTTAAGAATCACTAAAAACTTAGAGATTATGCTTGGGTATCTCTTTATAGTAATCTGAAAAGTTTGCAAACTTAGTACAAAGTCCTAAGTTACCATTTGAAAGTTTTGCTTTTGTATTTCGTTAGAATTTTCTCAAGTAAATGTGGATGAGTACTCATATGAAAATTTGAGTGTAATGAATTGTGGAAATTTCAGAAATATTAGACTTCAGTTCACTTCCCACTTTGGTAACTTTAAAGTGTCTTTTCTAGCTTTGTCATTTTGCTTATTAATGAAAAATATTTTAAAATTCAAATTTTTGAATTTCTTCATACAAATTCTTCTGATTTTAATGGAGTAGCTCAAAAGAAATGAATTATCAAATGAATTTCCATTTTTTGAATCATTGCTCTTAATTGACTTATAAATTTTCATCTGCTTTATTTGGGGGGAATTCTGATTCTAGGTCAAAATTAAATGTCCAACATTTATCACATATTTGAAGAAAACTGATAGTTTTATTATAAAATAGTAATAATCCTACCTAACCTTCCATTAAAATTCAAATCTGATGCTTTCATTATGGCAGAATATAAGACTGGGTCCTCAAAGTTAGAATAAGTCTTACCAAGCTGAAAAGGCTTCAGGAACTGCCTAAATGTTTTTCTTCCTGGACCAGACTAATTAAATGGGGAGTGGCTCTTCACCAGAGGCTTAGCCAAGAAATAGTTAGTTTTTGTCTTTCCTTAAAGACTTAAGGGGGGAAGACTGATTTTTTTTGTTTGTTTTTATTTTTTTAATGAACTTGAAAAGCACCAACAAACATGAGTTTCCTTGTAAAAAAAAAACAAAAACAAAAAAGTTAGCATATGACACAGTGAATCTGTTTTAAAATAGGCACCTGGGTTAACAGTTACTGATTGCTTCATTTGATAGTGAAAACATGCATGATTTTTTCCCTGGGACATTTGATATCTCCCTATTTCAAATATCTTGAAAATTGCTCCTGTACCACCTGGAAAAATTGTGTCAGTTCCAGCATAGACCTTCTCTATGTCTACTCTTTTTCTGGTCCAGCTAATCTTATAATCTTCTATATAATCTTATAACCTTCTGAAGGTGATCTGTGGATTGTTTTAATTGGTGTTTTATTTTTTGCATTCAGAAATTCTGGGAAGTTTTCTGGGATTATTTCTTGAATTACAATGTTTAGGTTTTTTGATTTGTTATGTTCTTCTGGGAGACTTGTGATGTATAGAGATCGTGTATTCTTTTAGCACTAGTGTTTTTTTGCTTCTCTTCTTCCAGAAGAGCAATGAGAAATAATCCTCCGCCATGCCTAAAGTGGAAGGGTGGGGAAGAGGAGAAGGAAGCCTCACTTGCAGGGAGGCACTGAAAAAGAACTGGATTCCAGAACTAGTTGTTTAAAAAAATGCTGGTGGATGAACCTTAGGGCAGGATAAACAGTAAAGACCACTGCCCCTCACCCCCTACCCCTGCTTCTTAACATGGAAAGCAGAGTCCTATTTCGGATGGGAGCAGACGCCAATCTCTGACACCCATGAGGATACAGATGGTCCCTGGCCTCCTAAAGGATCTTCCCTACTCTCAAGAGCAGGAGAGCATTAGAGCACATTCCAGCCTTGGGCAGGAAGGGACCAAAAACTGGCTGTATGGGCCTTTACTTCACCATCTCGGCTCTACCTCTACAGAAAAAATTTAGAAACTCAGAAATGCAGAAAATATATGTATAGTATTGTATAATTTAGATTTTGGGGCTGCTGTACCTCTAGCCCTCATGATAACTATATTTACCCCTCTTCATCTGTTAGTGCATCCATCTGTCCTTTACAACCTGTACTTTGTTCTTAACAAAATAATTCCCAGAGTTTTTCAACCAGCATTCCTTTTACTTCCCTGTATCAGCCAAAATCTTGCTTACCTTTATGATGTTGCCTTCCTCATTCAGTCTCATATTCCTTATCCTCACCTGTCATCTTCACCAAACAGTACCATAAAGCAGCAACCAGTACAGAACTCATGCCTGTGATTTCAAATGTGCTCTATGAAACATCTGATCATAGAACTTTTCATTCTTGCTTACTCCATAATATGCTGCATGTATATATATATGTATGTATATGTAGATGTAGATGTATATGTATATGTATATATTTACTAGCAACCTAGTCACAGCTCTAAATCCATTCATAGTCTCTAGTCTCATTCTGTTCCTAGGCTATTCCAAAGTATTGTGAACCTAGGAGTGATTGAGTAAGTCAGTGAATCAATGAAAAAACTTTTTAAAATACTTAATATGTGCCAAGCACTATACTAAATGCTAGGGATACAAATCGAAAAGTAATATAGTAAGATATTTTCAAAGTACTCATTCTAATTAGGAGAGATAACACATTGAAGATTTCAACTGCAAGTCAGATGGAAAGGGCCAGTACTTCTTATCGTACAGTAGCAAAGCAGATTGTAGTTTATCTTTTTTAGTATTGTTTCCATTGATAAAACTATCCACATTTGACAATGCCAAGGACTTTGGTGGTGAGAATTTTCTTTTAGTAGCTTTTGACTGTTGAAGAAATAGGGGCTACAGCACTTGCATAGCAGTGACTACCTGGGAATGAGTTCACTCAAAGGGCTGGTCCTCTGTACCATCGCTTTAAGGCCTGGGCTGGAAGCCGGGAGGGCCAACTGGGACTCTACTATTTCAAGGGCTCTTGGGCTTAACTGTCATTCAGTGGTATTTGTATTATGGTGACTGTGGGGTCAAGGCAAAAAGCAACACAGGTAGTCTAGAGGATAGGGCTGAGAGAAATGATTAGTTCTCTCATATTAATAACCAATTACTATTGGGAAGATCATTTTAAACATTCTCCTCACTTTTCTTCAGACGCCAACCAGCTACTGACGATTACTTCTGATTAAAGAGTCTAAAGAATCTAATCTAGTTGAATTCCAGCCCATTGTGTTCTATTCAGGCTTTGAATCTTTTGTCTAAATCGCCCCAGTCAGATCCCCCAGTCCCTCATTAGAATAAGTCTGCCTCATTATAATATTCATTCTCTCATTAGTTGTTAACCAGTCCAAGTTGATTGCCTCTTGTTAAGAACACCCACTCTTCCAAGAGTATATAAGCATCAAGAGGCCTCCAGGAAGGGAGGAGTCTTTTGGTTTATGAGAGACAGCCAAATGAACATCCTTTTTTTTTTTTTTTAATTTATTTTATCTTTAATTTTTGGAATAAAACCAGCATTTCTGTAACATAGTATAATAAAAAAGATGATTGCACATGAAACTGCAAATCTACTATGCACAACTTGGCTATTCCTTTCAAATATACAACAAAATTATCTTATAAATTTCTTTTTTTCTCTTTCTCCCTCCCCCTATGGCTATCATTAGACATAAATAGATATATATATGTAAAATTATTGTCTACATACTTTCATTTATCAGTTCTTTCTCTGGATGCAGATAGCATCTTTCTTCATATGTCCGTTATAGTTAACATGGTATTTATAATAGACAAAACAACTTATTTGCTCAAAGTCATTCTTAAAACAATATTGCTGTTACTGTTTACAATATTCTCTTGGTTCTGCTCATTCACTCTTCATTATTTCATGCAAGTACTTCCATGCTTTTCTAAAATCATTGAACTCATCATTATAGTACAGTAGCATTCCATCACAATCATACCACAACTTGTGCATCCATTCCCCAGTTAATTGGCATCCCAGCAGTTTCCAGTTCCTTGCCACCACAAAGAGAGCTGCTATAAACATTTTAGAACATATAACATATAGGTTCTTTTCCTTTTTCCCTTATCATCTTT